TTCTTTTACTGTAAACGTCTCATCAGCCGCCTTTATAATGTAGTTAGTTACGTAAATATCAGTTATTGAGACCCCCAAGAAAATTTGGAAAGGGAAACAGTGCACTCATAAATTTGTCTTTTTAAACGTCATCTTCGCCTCTACGTAATAGGAACCCAAAACCGCATCATAGCTAAGGGGACCCTATAGGCATCCAGACTTCAGCTCATTGTAGTGGTCTGGGTTGCACTGTCCCAGTCAGTTTAACCCTGCAATGGCAATTATTGCGGTTATTGAGAAACTGTAATAATTACCTTGCAGGGTTAACTCCACTTCTGCCAGACAGCCACTAGCGGTGCTTCTGGGGCGTTAGGTGACTTTTGGTCGATGCTGGATGTTCTCTATGTATGAGGACATCCAGCATTAGCTAAATCCCTATAGGAAAACATTGATCCAATACTTTCCTATGAGAGTTTTCTAGTGTGATTGCGGCGCTTGCCGCGCATGTGCATTAGGTCCTTGACTTCAGGGGAGGAGGAACGAAGGCGGAGCCTGACTGACCATCGAGGTACATTGACACTGGATTCAGATAAGTGTCGAAAGGGTTTTTAACCCTTTCATCACTGCAGTGAGGGAGGACGCAAAGTAGGGGACCAGCAAGGAAGACGTTTTTTGTATTTCTAGCCTATAGTTTCCCTTTAAGTAGCACAACATAAACCTGAGAAGCTCTGAAAAAGCAATAAATTGACACAGAGTGCTTATCTATTATAAAAGTGAACATGTCATTTAAAATTCAACTTAACATTAATTCTCCCAAAATACGTGATCTATTCAGAGTAATGTTCTGACCTTACCTTCGATCCAGTGCTGCCATTTCCCCCACTTCATGCTTGTTACTATTCTAGAACACACACCTTGCAGTCTACTCTTGCTCCTCCCTCAATCTTTTTTTAAATTTGCCCTCCTTGGGGATGTACAAAGAGGGCAAGCCTCCTCTTTGATGCCAACATGCTAGCTTTGTTTCCGTCATCTGGAAGCTTTGGCTGTGGAGCCATAGTGCATGCTATGGGTGGAGAGGTGGAAAGCAGAACTCTTCTTTTCTGCTGACTGACAATTCTTCTGCATAAAACAAATCCCCCTTTTTTTTTATTAGGTTTTTCCTAGTCTATATATATATATATATATATATTTTTTTTTTAGCAAATCAGCTGTCAAAATTTATAGTGTGCTTTTTCAGAGAAGCATAAGTTATAGGTATCATGTCATGTATCCTTTAAGAAGAAATTACTTTTCAAGCAAAAGGCTGGGATTCAGGTGATGGGAAAGGTTTTTAGTCCCAGTCAGTCAAGGAGGTAAGGGTAGAGGAATGATGGGGAAGGAATGATTACCAGCCTTTAGAGGTACACATTTCTCTGCCACAAGCCGCTGATTTAATGTCTGTAAATGTGCTGAAAATGTTCACCCCCTGTTTTCAAACTGTAAAAGAAGTTTAAATACGCCATATCATTTTACCATTTCACTGTCGCTATTATCTCCGCTATTGCTAGGAATGACTTCAGGGTCCTAACAAACCCCTGCAAGGTATTGGACCATTTGTATTGATCTATTTTTGTCACATCTAATGTTAGTAAGAACATTTGCATTGTTTATTTTTTTTTAAAAAGATAAATGACGCTGTAAACCGTCTAAAGCTTTTTATTTCCCATTTCCCAAAAGGCTGAACAAATAAGTAAAAAAAAAAAAAAAATGTTAATTTACATAATTGTAATTTTTAAATGTCTCCAAAGCGAAATATATATATTGTTGTGTTATAAAATGTTTCAGGGTGGATTTTATTTAGATCAATTCTATTTTAAATCACTAATCTGTAAGACTCTATTTAACCGATTTAGGACGCATAACATAAATTTTCCGAAGTCTTTTTCACGCAATATTTTTTCAGCAGTAATTGTTTTTCCTTGCTATTAACTGACCGGTGCTCTGTTTGCAGAGCTAGAAGTAAGCGCCGCGATCATTCATTCAAATTAGGATTTACATCCCTATTTTTACAATGTGGTGGTTAAATGTCTACTCACACTAGGGAGTCCCAGGTATCAATGGATTCCTAGGGCTCCTGTCTATCAGCTGGGGCAATTTTTAGTGGACACAAACTGACAGATGAGCTGCATGCAGAGTTCAAAGTGACATCGGCATGCAGCCCTTTCAATGGGGATTTAAATCCCCATAGACTGTAATGTAAATCCCTGCTCACACTAGGAACCCAGGTATCAATGGTTCCTGGGGCTCCCCTCTATCATTTGGGGCCATGTCAGGAATTTTATTCGTTTATTACTGGCCCTTTAAGACGGCATGGAAGTACACACCCCTTTGGTTATTTAAACTCCAATCTCCAATACCTTAGTGCACAATTAATGTGTTAATCTGACTGATTGCATCAACTTCCTTCCTAATCATTTGGATCACTCCTAGAGAGACCTCCTAGGTGTTCCATCACTGGACCCCTTCTGAATCTCCTCTTCATACCCCTATATCTTTGATTACCTGGTTAACTAATTCAGACTGGCCTTGACTCTGCTTTTGGAGGGACATTGCTTATGGACTAACCCTGGACACATCACCTAAACTTCTATTTTCAAGGACTGTCAGTTTATCTCTCTGCTTCGCTGCCACCTAAGTTTGCCGTGCTGAAACTGCCTCAAAATAAAGAATGAGTTGTTCTTATTTTTTTGTTTGGCATTTGTTAAAGAAAAAAACATGACAGATTAATTGTGCCTTACAATTGTTAAACTTATTTAAAAAAAAATAATGGAAGCCACAAACTTAACCCAGAGGTTTGTCTCTTCAATCACAAGTTGAACTCTTAGCTCAATCAATTCAGGAGTTCCACCTTAAACTAAATGATATCCAAACTCAAGTTGAAAATTTAAAACAGCACACCCTTTCCCATCAACCTGAACCTCCTATATACCCTCCTAAAAGATTCTCTGGAGATCGTTCTATTTACAGGGGGTTCATACATGAATGTAAACTCATGTTTTCTCTGAGACCTGTCACTTTTAGAAATGATGTGAAACTAAAACCATTATTTCCTTACTTCAGGGAGATGCTGCTAAATGGGCTTATCAACTCATGGAGTCATTTGACCCTTGCCTCTCCTCATTAAGTGTTCTTGCATAGCAAGACCACTTAATGTTATCTCACATATATATTATTATTATTATTATTATTAAGTGTTCTTGCATAGCAAGACCACTTAATGTTATCTCACATATATATTATTATTATTAAGTGTTCTTGCATAGCAAGACCACTTATTGTTATCTCACATATATATTATTAAGTGTTCTTGCATAGCAAGACCACTTATTGTTATCTCACATATATATTATTCTTATTATAGCCAAATTTGCCACCCTAACTCCTCCCACAGTTTTTACACTACATAGACAAAAATTTACCAAAGCGTGCAGATTGTTCCCGATCGGATTGCTATTACTTTGTGGAACGTTTCGCCGAATGGTTCACGGAATATCGTCGTTCTTGTGGCGAAATTTGTCCCATAGGAATGAATGGCAAAGCTAGAGTGGGAGCTGGCAAAAGCTGAAAAATCGGGACATGATTTCTAAACTGCCACCACTCCCTTATTTTCAGGCCCACCTACACAAATCTTATATCAAAATGTTCAGCTATCCCTGCTGCCACTAAACATGTCAACGGCTAAGCCATAGTCCTGATAGTTTTCACAATATAATCATTTGTTTGCAACTAACGCTGTCCATTGACATTCATTGAAACTTCACTCTGCAAAGCTCAAATTTGAAGTGCAATTTCTAAACTGCGACTGTGCCTTCAATTTTAATACTTCAGAGACATACTATGCATCAGAATGTAGGTCTGGGTCTTGTGATTCTCACAATATAAAGCTCTTCGCTGTAGGATTTATAGTTTTTAAGATACGACCGTTTGAAGATGGCAACCACCAAAATACTCTGACCTGTGTCAAGCTGCAGCAGCAAGTGATGTCATAGACAGGGCCTTTTGAACACCTGCTAATGTTTTTATAAATGTATGGTTTAATGTAACTGTGCAACAACGTTGCAATTAAATGTGCTATGTAAATGATAACAGTTACTCCGCCCACTCCAGTTGTAGACTACAGGTGGAGGCAAGAACACTTCACACAATTTCCCCAGAAATTGTAGCTTTTCTAGCTTTGAATTATTCCTGCAGGAAATTAATACATTGTATGAAGACTCAAATAAAAGTGATACTGCTGAAACCTTATTACACTCTTTTTAACCCAAGGGAGAAACAATGTGGAAGAATGTTTCTTACTTTTGTAGATTAGCTGCAGATACTTGATGGAATGAAGCAGCTTTAAAATGCCAATATAGATTGGGGTTGTCTGAAAATCTCTGAGATGAACTTGCAAGGACTGGTATTCCTAGCACTTTAAGGAAATTAATTATTCAATTAGACAGGACGTTTAGAGAAAGAAGAAAATAAGTTATTTTTCTAATCCTTCCAGACAATCCTCTTCAACAACACCCCGTCTAGACAATTCTCCTAACTCCTCAAAAAATGTAGCCATGGAAATTGGATACATTAAAGGTCCCTTATCTGAAACTGAAAGGAACAGAAGAAAAACTAATAATTTATGCATGTACTGTGCATCACCTTCTCATCTGTTGCCAAATTGTCCCCTTTCTAAATGGAATAAGATGGGAATTGCTCCACGGTTTCTAACCCAGAACGTAATTGTTTTACAACTATGTCTTTTCTTCCAAATGGTACAAATATAGAAATTAATGCTGTAATTGATTCTGGTGCCATTGGTTGTTTTTTAAATAAAAAAAAATTGATACTTTTGACATTCCTGTCCATCAAAAGGAAAGTCCTTCTCAAATTGTTCTTTTTGATGGCTCTGTCTTAAAATTTGTAGTTATTTGTTTCCAAACTTCCCTTCTTAAAATTACCATTATTAATCACCATCTTGAAGATATAATTTTTGACATTAATACCTCTGTTTGACACTGTTTTGAGCCTCCCTTGGCTGAAAAAGCACAACCCTCAAATCAATTGGTCCTTAAATACCTTTACTTTTAATTCGGAATACTGTACTTCCACCTGTATGAAAAATTATCAAATCGGTTCTATGTCCACTATTATCCCTGATCATTACATGGAATTCAGTGATGTCTTTAGTGAAACAGAAGCTTCTAAGCTCCCTCCTTCAAGACCATATGACTGCTCTATTGACCTCATAGAGGGTTCTACTAACCCTTACAGTCATATGTATCCCTTATCAGAACCTGAACTCAAAATACTAAAAGAATTCTTGGATACTAATCTCAAAAAAGGTTTCATCAGACATTCTACCTCTCCCGCTGGAGCTGGAATATTTTTTGTGACTCATAAAGATGGAACAATCCGTCCTATTATTGATTACCGTAAATTGAACAAGATAACCATAAAGAATCGTCATCCTCGCCCTCTGTTACAGTCGTGACTTAAATATGAATATTAATTTAATAATTAATATATAATAATTAAGCAACAAATAACAACATTAATAGAGTTCGGTATTATGGTCGAATATATATCCATGAATGCCAAACAAATGTAAATTAGTACACAAACAGGGTCAAATTTAGCAATAAAACCTGGTGAACTAGTTTAGTGAAAAGTCTTTTCCTATGCAAATGGTAGCAAACAATGAAACTAGGCCTCAACTCATTCACACCATGTGGTCAATGGTGGATTAAAATCCACATGGTCAGACAAAAGGTAAAGTATATATTTTTTTTCTATATACAAATGACCAAAGATTGGTAACAAGCAACACAATAATTCACTTCTATACAGACAGACAATTGACTCTGTGTATTAAACAAAATGCATAACTTTTGTATTTTCCCTAATATTCCAGCATAATCCCATATCTTCGTCGCCAAGTGTTAGTCATGATTTAAATATGAATATTAATTTAATAATTAATATATAATAATTAAGCAACAAATAACATTTAATAGAGTTCGGTATTATGGTCGAATATATAATAGGAAATACACAAAACATTGTAGTATTAAATGTATATTTATTATAATAACAATTAAACAAATGCTAGCAGAATGTAAATTTACCACAATAATTACACCATACAAAACTACAACATTACTTACAAAAGGCTATAACAGTTGCTAGCTGTTATAATAGATTACTTACACGGCTCCTGCCTGTTTGGCTGGAGCTATACACACAGCTACATGTTCAATCAATGCAAGCAAAGGAAAAAGGAGGCTGAATTCCTTCTACGATTTGGTTTTATCCAGTAAGTAGGCTGTCCTGTGATGTCACTGCCAGAAGCACATGAGTTAGCACACTGACCCCTAGTGGTGCCTCTAAAGCATTAAGCTCATTATGCTTTACTGACATCTAGTGGTGCGTCTAAAGCATTAAGCTCATTATGCTTTTTTATGACAAAAAGTCATTAATTAATAAATACCATTACAAACCACCCTTTGACTTATGTCATAAAACAAACATTATAAACCCGTACATCTTGAATCTACCCTATTTTAACAGTACCTGCCCTACAACAAAACCCACCTTTTGAAGAATGATACCCATTTACCCGTAAAGTTATGACACTTTATTGCTTATTCAATTTTTTTTTTTTTCATTGAGCACATGCATCACCAGTTGGGAAACCTTGGCCTAAAATAAGCACATACCCACCCTTATAATAACCACTGAGCACATGCATTAGCAGTTGGGAAACCTTGGCCTTAAATAGGCAAATACCCACCCTTGTAATAATAGACAACTCAAACCATGTTTTATTAGATTAACCAATGATATTGTGTTCATGTGAGGATGTGTTTTGGAGCTTAATATAGTATTAGACACCACAAACTCATAACACCTATGAATCATGGCACAGACCGACTCGATTTCTGTAGCCTCTGGCTGATCTGTGTGCCTGGAATTTTCACAAACATTAGTCCTGGAAACTGGATACTCTATTCTTCGACAGTCTCATAGAACATACGCATGGAGACAGGGATGAATGAAACAGTTCATGTGATCAAGGACTTTTGTGTGTTTGTGGTCACACTGTTTTGTTTTTTCTTTCTTTATACCATTAACCACCTTGACGTAACAGTGTCCTGCTCCTGATGCATTTGTTCCGACTCTCACCACTCTTAGCTGCAATATTTTTTCTCCTTACAGCAACAGTTGAGCATAGTGTCCAGTGCTGCTGCTTCTTCTGCTTAAAATATCCTTGCTTGAAAGTTCTTGAATGAAAACACAGGCAATGACGAACACAAACATAAATAATAACTGTGCCAATCATCACAAGTACCATTTGATTGTGGTGTCTTAACCATATTTTTTTCCTATGGCGTTTGGATAAATACCTACACACCTCTCTTCACATCCAGCACACTCCTGATTCACAGATAAACACAATATCACTGCTGTATCTACCAATTTAACCCAAACACTCGTTATTACTGCTGCATTTACCAATTTAATCTAAACACTCGTTATCACTGCTGTATTTAACCAATTTAATCTAAACATTAACCAAAACAATTACATTCCTATTTACCACCCTTCTATTTAAACATGTATAGATAATCCAAAATGCCTACTTTCTCTTATCCCTCTTATCATTCTTCCGTTTTTTTTGTTTGTTTTTTTTAACTGCAACCACTCATGCACTTTACACAGACACAAATCAAGCACCTACTGGACAATGGGGTTCCCTCGTTAGAGCCCTCCCACCCCAGTTTGGTTTACACAAAAATACCCCCTGGTCCCTATGGGTCAATTCTCCCCTTTCCCAGGCAAGCATACATACATACAACAATAATACATAAGGGTTTCAAATAATAATAATAATACAGGATAGAACTGCACAACAACTATTGGGTATGCTCCCCCTTATCCGGACACGTTTAAATACCCCCTAGCTCAGGTTCCCCACCCGCTACTGTAACTAAAATCACAGCCCACGTTATGGAGGTTCACCCGCTAGGCAGATAAACCCTAATTCAAAGCATGGAAATATTAAAATCAGTTATAGATGGCTTCTAAAATAATATAAATCTTAATCTGAGCCCCTAAACTTACTTTGTTAAAAATGCTAACTTGTTAAAATATTTAGACTAAATAGGACAAAGGAATTATTTTACCATTTTTTCAGTTCATTTGTTACCAGTTCCTGCATATGTCCAGTAATTCCTTAGTCCTGGATAATAAAGCTGAAAAACACTCCACAAATTGATTAGTTTAGGCAATTACATTTACAAAACAATGCAGTTTATTTTTTCTCATACAGGCAAGACTACCCACCCCCAACAAGGACAAATTCTCCCCCAGCTGTAGCTGAAAAGCATGGTCACACAGCTGTTAAAAAGGTGGTCTCTCCTTCATGAGTCAAAATCATATATATATTTATACTAATATTCTGTGTATACGCACACATAAATCTATTATTCACTGAATCTGCTTTACTAAACGTATCTTTTTCTTAACTACTAAATTTTGTCCAAATCTCTTTTCAACTAGACAAATCCATGAATGCCAAACAAATGTAAATTAGTACACAAACAGGGTCAAATTTAGCAATAAAACCTGGTGAACTAGTTTAGTGAAAAGTCTTTTCCTATGCAAATGGTAGCAAACAATGAAACTAGGCCTCAACTCATTCACACCATGTGGTCAATGGTGGATTAAAATCCACATGGTCAGACAAAAGGTAAAGTATATATTTTTTTTCTATATACAAATGACCAAAGATTGGTAACAAGCAACACAATAATTCACTTCTATACAGACAGACAATTGACTCTGTGTATTAAACAAAATGCATAACTTTTGTATTTTCCCTAATATTCCAGCATAATCCCATATCTTCGTCGCCAAGTGTTACAGTCATGACTTAAATATGAATATTAATTTAATAATTAATATATAATAATTAAGCAACAAATAACATTTAATAGAGTTCGGTATTATGGTCGAATATATAATAGGAAATACACAAAACATTGTAGTATTAAATGTATATTTAATATAATAATAACAATTAAATGCTAGCAGAATGTCAATTTACCACAATAATTACACAATACAAAACTACAACATTACTTACAAAAGGCTATAACAGTTGCTAGCTCTTATAATAGATTACTTACACGGCTCCTGCCTGTTTGGCTGGAGCTATACACACAGCTACATGTTCAATCAATGCAAGCAAAGGAAAAAGGAGGCTGAATTCCTTCTACGATTTGTTTTTATCCAGTAAGTAGGCTGTCCTGTGATGTCATTGCCAGAAGCACATGAGTTAGCACACTGACCCCTAGTGGTGCGTCTAAAACATTAAGCTCATTATGCTTTTTTTATGACAAAAAGTCATTAATTAATAAATACCATTACACCCTCTAATACCCGAAATTCTTGAAAGAATAAAAGATGCCAAATGGTTTACCAAATTAGATCTTAGAGGAGCTTATAATCTTCTTCGAATTCAATCAGGAGATGAATGGAAAACTGCTTTCTGTACAAGATATGGACACTTTGAATATTTGGTTATGCCATTTGGACTTTGTAACGCCCCTGCCTCTTTCCAAAATTTCATATGTGACATCTTTTAAAGATTTTCTAGATCAATTCATTGTGATTTATTTGGATATTCTATTTTTTTCTCATACACTTTTTTTAAAATATTTCTTTATTTCATTTTTTGTCTTTTGTACAAAATAAAAACAATACATACAAAGTCCATCTAATTCATACAAGACAAGTGTTCTCTAATCATGATACAGTATAACTTATTTTATAGCCCTTATTTATCTCAATAAAATACGCTAAACATCAGACAATGAGGTAAGAGAACACCATATAAAACAACCTTATACTAAACAGTACATTCACACAATCAGAGCAGGTTTATATTCTTATTTTAAGTTAATATATAGAGATATTAGTTTCAGAGTTTATTTTATAATTTATGCAACCATTTATCAAATAGTTCTTTTTTATCAATTGATTTTATGATTACATTTAGAAGATCCTTTTCCATAGAAAGTTGGAATTTAATCTGATTAAAAAAAAATTTCATTTTTTTTTGGAAAGGAAGTAATGATCTCCGACAATTATAATCTTGGGTGCAACAAGACAATGTACAGCTATACATATAACACTACTAGTTTTGAGGTTCCATTTCATATGCAGAAGAGCCGTTGCTGGACAATTATTTATTTTGTGGTCTCAATTTTTGGTACAAATTAAAAACCCAAAACCAAAGGGGCTTAACTATAGGGCAAGACCACCATATATGAATAAATGAGCCTACATCATACCCGCAGCGCCAACAAGTGGAATCATAACCCTGATGCATTCTAGATATTCTCATAGGAGTTAACAACTTTAAAGTGGCATTCAACTAAATTTAAACTGTGAATATTCTTGTATATTTGAGAAGAGGATAAACACCACTCTCTATCAGATATTATGTTCAGATCTTTTTCCCAGGATTTTATCATTTTTACCTGAATTATCATTTAAGATATCTATAATCTGATTAGCTTTAGATGTAACTTTATTTACCGGCTTCTAATCGAAAATTCTTTCTAATTGAGTCGTAATATCTATGGGTATTTTCATTAATTTGTTTCTAAAAAATTTTTTTTTTATTTTTTTTGATTCTTAAGGAAGTAAAGATCTCTTTGTTCGGAATTTGAAACTTATCCATAATATCTTGAAATGAGATCAACTTGTCTTCATGTAATATTTCTGAAAGCCTGGACAAGTTTTTATTTGGCCAATTCTTAAGTGACAAATCTTCCATGTTATGTTCTAGTGCATTTTAATCTGCAAGATTTTGGTATGCATTGTGTAATTCCTAAGGATTTTTAAATTTATTCTCAGGCGTGTATTGTCTGGGAGAGAACTATAGATTTAGTTAATATGTGATTAGTATTTTTTTTACTGCTATTATTCCACAGATGGTATTCAAGTTTGCTGATTTCCACAGCCTCTGATTCTATAATGAACTAGGGTTCTAATATCAATTGATCATCTTGAAGCTTGTATACATGTCTAATCATATTTGAATAGTAAATGTGTTTTATGTTAGGGAAATTTAAACCACCTTTATAAAGTTTCTTAGATAAAACTTTTAGACTTATTCTTGGCCTTTTTATTTTTCCATATGTACGCAGAGAAGCTAGCCTGTATCAAATCTAACCAACTTTCATTCTTTCAGAACAGCATTCTAAAGGGTAGCATCGAAAATAAATATGACCATTTTGATAATATATATGAATTAATGGTGTTAATTTTCCCTAGCCATGATGTCTCAGTGTTTTTCCATTTTTTTTAAAGATTTATTTTTATCTTTTAATAATCATATCACATTAATTGCCATAGTGCTTGATACTTTAGCCGGGATTATTACCCCTAAATAATTAATTTCTTTATTTAACCAAGTGAATTTATATTGTTGACATAATTTCTTCACGTTGACATTCTCTGTTTTTATACATAGCCGTTCTTTTCATAATATTTAATTTATAATTTGAGACTAAGCTGTATTTATTAATCTCTAACATCACACATGGTAAAGATTATTCTGGAGAAGTAATCGTTATTATTGTATCATCCGCATAAAGCGAGATCTTGATCTCTCTGGTTTTTGTATAAAATCCTCTAATACCTTGATTATCTCTAATATTAATTGAGTGGTTCTACAGATAAAATGTATAATGGAGACATTCTTCAAATCGAACCATCCTGCACATATATTTGCACCAACAGTTCTCGCTGAGGGAGTGGAGTAGAAAAAAACATTATTGCCTTATGAATCCAGCCATTAAACCCAAAAGCTCTCAAAACTTCCTCCAAATAACCCCAGCTGACCCTGTCAAATGCTTTTCTCCCCTTGATCCATCATATCTATAATCCTTCGAAAACTATTAGTTGAGGATCTTCCTGGAATGAATCCAATCTGAGCAAAATGTATAATTTTATTTATAATTGGTTTCATTCTGTCTGCTAATATAGAGGCGTATATTTTCAAGTTGACATTTATCAAAGAGATAGGTTTATAATTACTTACG